GAGGTCTCTATGAGATAATGTACCATACCAATATTATCAGAACGAGAAGCATAATGAAGAGGAGTACGACCAGACTTGTCTTTAGGTATTGGATTAGAGACAATGTTTGGTTCCAAATACTGGTATATATAAACTCTCTTTCTCTCTGCTAGTAAGTGTAAGCAGGTGATGCCATCTTTATCTTCTGCTAAAGGATCCATTCCATGTGTCTCAATTAGTGTTCTTACTATTCCATTATCTCCTCCCTCACATGCTGCATGAAGTAAACCACGTCCTCTATTATCCATTACATTAATACCTTGAGGATAAATACTGGATAAATAATGAAACACATCAATATGGCCATTACTGCAAGCTGTATGTAATACAGTGGATCCTTCATTATCAGTAGCTGTAAGGAGATCATGATGAGTAGAACTACCAGTGACTGAGAACAGTAAAGCTTCAGCGGTATCCTTATGACCAGAGGCAGCTGCTAAGTGTAATGGTGTCTGTCCTTTCTTGTTAGTAATTAATAAGTTATTGTTAGACAGACTGGCTTTTAGTAATAGTGATACCATATTCTGTCGTCCATGTTGACAGGCTAAATGTAATGGTGTATTACCATCTTTATCTTGTACATTAATAAGTACAGCATTATGTGGATTATTGTATATGTCATGAGGACTGTCTAATAAACACTTTATCTCACGTAACCAGACAACACTCATTGAGGGTATACTCTTACTCAGTAAATATTCTAATATTTCATATTCATTAGTTGCTACAGCAAAATGTAGTGGTGTACGGTCTTGATGATTGGTTACATTAGGATGGCAATAATTATTATCAATGAGATACTTCAATGTATTCCAGTCACCCCTCTCTAATGACATGTGAACTGTTCTGGACAAATCGATTTGATGATTCTCTACCAGATACTTAATGACGTGAGCATGACGATAGAAAAATGAATAATAAATAGCATTCCAACCTTTGTTATCTGTTAGGCTCAGACTACACTTGTAATCCTTCATGTATAATTCCAGTAGTAAAATATCACCAGATTGAGCAGCATAATGAATTGGTAGCTTACCATTACTGTCAGCTTGATGAGGATCTAACTGATAGGTAGTTATTAATTCTTTAACAAGAGATAAGTTAAGAGACAGTGAGGCATAATGTAAAGCAGTGAGGCCATCCTTAGTAACTGCAGTAGGAGACAAACCTTGTTCAGTAATAAGATACTGAACTAAATCAAAGTTACCACTCCATGCAGCATGATGTACTAATGTGCGTCCTTCATTATCTGTTTTATTAATATCACAATGCTGTACCTCAATGAGATATTGAGTGGTATCAATAT